CCCCTCCGGTCCTCGCAACGAGGGCGCCCCCTCCAGCCCCTTGACGCCCCTCCGTGGCGTGCATCGCCACCAACACGCCAATCCCGCCGTTGCCAAATTTACATTGTAGACTCAAAATGTTAAGCATCAAGTGTATGAATGGATCAGTACTATATCACTGAAAAAAAATTCTCGACGTTTTTACCAAGGTCCGTTGGTACCTTTACCATCTCACTTTTTTTTACCAATTATTGGTAATTTTATCAAAACAGACTGGTAAGCTTACCTAAAAACCGGTAATTTTACTGGGTTTTTTTTTTCAGATAAGAATACCACTTTTATTAGTGATCAATTCCCGGTAAATTTGCCATTTTATCTCGGTAATTCTACCACGGTCGATAAAAATATTGGCGTTTTTACCGGGGTCCAGTAAAATGACCGAGAAAGTTCAATAATTTTACCGAGATCTTTCGGTAAAATTACCAATTCCATAAATGGTAATTTTACCAAGAAAAAACTGGGATGAAATAGAACCCTGAATTCTTGGCAATTTTACCCTTTTCTTAGTAAATACACCGAGATTTTTTTTTTTCAGTGACCGTCCTAAGGAAGACAACCGTATGAACATCCGAGAGTTGCCAAATTTCCGTTGATAAGATGTCTATTTTTGAGGAAAGTTATGAATTTTTCCTTGAAATTTTAAGGAACTTTAGAGCGCAGAGGGCGCCCAATGAAAGGTTGGAGGGAAGGGAAGGGATTGAAGCGGAAATGTTAAGGTGCTCAACCCCCCAAGATTTGTGGTTTGATAGAGAGCAGTGGAGGTTAGGAGTCGTAGAGCGCGAGGGAGTGCTGTAAAGCGACTTATATGTATGTATGTGTAGAGCAAAAAAACTGACAAAATTCCCTGAGAAAGTGAAAGATAAATATTCACAAGTTTACCAGGAAATTTGTGTTTTATGAATAGATTTTTGGCAACATCTTAAGGTTCATATGGCGTTTTTCCGTAGCATAAGAGAGTATTGTCGTGCTAAAGGGAAACGTGGTATGAAAATTCGAGAGTTGTCACAATTCCTCCAATGAAATGTATATTTTTGAGGAGAGTCGTGAATATTTTCTCATGAGATTTTCAGATAATTTAGATCGGGCTGCGACTGGAATTCTCTGAGAAGTTGGAGGGAGGATTCTCACAAATTTCTCTGAAAATTCGTATTCTATCCTTGAAAATCTGGCAACGTCTGAAAGCTTATGCAGTGTTCTTCCGTAGCACGGCAGAGTAGACACAGTACCGGTGGCGTGGAGTGCTTTGCGATATATCGATTTATCTGCCATTTAAATCTATGGGAAATAATCGCGATTATCAAGATTTTCGCTGCGAACACCTTAATAATCGATTCTTTACTACAGCTTCAAATTAAGAAATATCCATAATCGATCATTCACGCCACGCCAATGTATATTACGAATTTAAGCATTCTGATACTCGCTCCGTAACCAGAATTTCACGTAGAACACGATTCATATGACGGAAATTACTGAAATCAACTCTTAACTAAGATATTGACGTATTTGTTTTACACTGGTAACGGGAATTTTGAATTCCCATCTCGCAGAAAAACAATGTCTACTTGAACCAAATTGCGCACTGCAACGGGTTTGGCAGGTTAGCAATGTTCCTTTCACACCCTTAAATGCTTGAAGTGTAAACAACTTGCAATATAGCTGAGCTAAGACGCTAAGACTGAGGAAGCCGTATTATAATATCGCAGATTGTCGCGATAACGTATGGCATGCGATTTAACTCAAGCTGATCATTGTTTCTTCCATGAGAGGGAAGTATGAATTTGTGCATCAAAAAACGTCATGAGCTTATTAAGGAGTTAAATTCAGCGAATTGTGTTTTACATGAAGTTCTGGTGATGAAACACCAGGATACTTAAATCCATACCTCATGGGCCAGCGTTAAGCAATAACCAGTCATTTACTTTAAAAAAAAGCCTATAAGTGTAGCGAGAAGAATTAAAGCGTTTATTTCGATAAGTTGCCAAGTCGAATTTTTTTCGATTTTGAGCTTTTGACGGAGATTTAACCCTCAGGAGTAAAAGCATCTACAGTCAATATAATTTTTCGAAATTTCAATCGTGAGTGCCTCAAATACCAATGGCTTTCAGGCGTTAAATTTCGAAAAGATGACAGCTCATCATCAACGTCATCAACGCGCATGTTTCATTTTTTTTACATTGATACAAAATTGCAGCCCCTAAATCAAAACAAACAAACAAAAAAATTGATTTTTTTTTTAAATTTTGGGCAAGGCTTTTTTTATACAAGAAATAGACTAAATTTATTTTTATTCAAGCCTTTTATTTCGATTTGTTTGTATATTCAAGTTTTTTTAAAAAAGAAATGAGTGTCATCTTACTATATTATAAAATCCTAAGCCCTAAAACTGTGGAGATCTGTTCCGCGCTGTCCTGAAGTTACCGTTAGAGCGAGAGAGTATATGGACATTTTACGGAGGTGTGACACCTTATGTGCTGGCACGGCGCGATCTCCTTTTTTTGAATTTTTCATTTTAGCCGAATTATTGCGAAAAATCTGCAAATCTATTTTTGCCTATTTCTTGACTATTATTGATCCTCTGAACTTGAAATTCGTCATGATGAAGGGGCGATCTGAATTGGTTATGCTGGTTTGGTCCATAAAATGTTTATAATTGGTCGAGTTATCGCGAAAAATTTAAAAAATTCACCCTATCTATGTAAAGGTGTACAGAGATGAGGGATAATGCACCAACAAATAACGTTTTATTTCAAGACGGGGCACAATACCGATCAAAGACCACTTCGTAGAATAAAAAGGAGGTTAAAATTCCGATCTTTACTCGGTAGTCAATAGACTTCAAGGTAAAATCATTCAATACCAAATGCGATCGAGTAAGATTTATATACAGAAAATCAAATGTGAAAAAGTCGACCCGTTAAGCAGTGACACGACGAGAAAAAAGTCTATTTTTGATGCAAAACATTAAGGCGGTGTTTTTTTTTTTTCTCTTTTCTTTTCAGAACCAAAATAATAAGTTAATTAAGTATAGAGGATAATTCCACCATGATGATATTATTACCATGATACAGTTTACGGTTTTATGAGAGGAACCTATCAAGGCGTTACTTTTTCCTTTCCACTTTTTTTCTTCTTTTTTTTAAATGATTTCTACTTTAACTTTTTAAACAAGTTTATTGTCACTAGTGGGCGTAAAACAGGAGAAGAGGGGAAAAATGCAGGTGGAAAATGAAACATTGTCCCTAAAAGAGCGAATACTGATTTCCTTAAATAATGAACTTGAGCGGAAGTAATAACCAAAAATAGCGTGTAAGGCCGACCATCTTCATTGAAATTCAGTTAAAATACTTTATAGTTTGAGAAAAATAATCCGTTTGCGCTATAGTCTTCGAAGGTCACAAAGAGAACAAATCAAAACTGCAGGATTTATTTCGTAAGTGAATGCAAAAATGTTAAAATGGTATTCTATGCCGTTCACTATTCACTTGCCATACGCGTTCAGATACAAAAGCGTGCATTTATGGGGGAAGTCTGAGAATGAGGCCATACATCTGGGAGTCTGATAGCGTATACCACTATAAAAATACACGTTGTCACAATTTTTCAAGAGCGTTTTCGGAAGTGAGGAAGGGTTCTTCTACTTCATCTAGGTACGCCATTGCGCCGGTTACTCAAATAATACCGGAAATTTTTAAAGCTCTAAAAAAGAGTAACCCTATACTTGTTCCATTAAATTTTTCCTTTTAATTAAGACACCATTAGAATGCTCACAATTTAACAACGATGAACTTATAAGCGTATAGGCAATCGAGCGAACTTACGAAAAAAATATTGCACAATAACTAAGATTTTAGTAACGTGAAAACTGATACAAATAAATACGTACATAAATAATAAATAGATAAATAGATAGATAGATAGATAGATAGATAGATAGATAGATAGATAGATAGATAGATAGATAGATAGATAGATAGATAGATAGATAGATAGATAGATAGATAGATAGATAGACAAATAGATAGATAGATAGACAGATAAATAAATAAATAAATAAATAGATAGATAGATAAAAAGATAAATAAATAAATAAATAAATGAATAAATGAATGAATAAATAGATAAATAAATAAATAAATAAATAAACAAGTAAACAAAGGAGAAAAAAAATTCAGGTAAATTCAAGGTGAATACGATAAGACTGGAGCGACGATAAGAGAGTGCATACCGGTAATCTGAAACCGCGGCGCGACTCGGAGACGGATGCGTTAGGATTTTCGGGATCGGAGGGAAGGGGGTGGGACTCGAAGGGGGAAGCCAAAGGGCGGGGGGAAGCGACGACAA